AAGTAAATGATTATATGATTTATGGAGAGTTGTGTTATGGGAATACAAGTAGGTGTGGGGAAAGAGGTAATGAATTCTCTTATTAGACATTGAAAGATAGAGGTTCTTTTTAAACATTCCCCAAAGAGAAATCTAAGGAACTGTTGGTCATGTGAATGTAGATCTTGTTAGAACTTGGCTGAACAAGCAGACTGAGAGCAGCTACATAGAGATGTAGGGAAGCCGCCTCAGTGGGCCTGATTATTTGGGAAGATGCTGTACAACTGAAGAGCAGAGGGTACCCTTTCTTCGTATGAGAAAAATGACCAAGAGAGTAATGTCTCCTTGGATGCCACTTGACACCTGAAGTTCGGTATGTGGAGACTTCATTTCTTTCCTCTCTCCCCCTCTGTCCCTCCCTCCTTTTCTTTCATCATTTTTTTGAGACAGAATCTCTTGAATTCCAAGCTGACCTCAAACTCAGTAGGTAGCCAAAGATAACCTTGAAGTCTTGATTCTACCGCCTCCAACTCTCAGGGACTGGGACTACAAGCATGCATGGCCACACCCGGCCAGTTTCTTAACACACTTTCTCTAGTGAATAGACACAGCTGTCTTTCAGTGACTGCCGCTTTGCTCATCAGACTCTTCCTCTTCTACATTATGATTCATTTTCTTCTTTTAAAAAAAATTTCAAAAATATTTGTTTTTCTTTTATGTGCATAAGTGTACTGCCTGCCTGAATGGAAGTGCTGTACCTGTGTCGTGCAATGCCCGTGGAGAGCAGAAAAGGGTGTTGGATCATTTCATCATACTGACTGAAGTGATTTCTTTGCAACCTTTATTGTCTGCTCACTTATCTCTAAGTTAGAGAGTGGAAAAAGTAATACTGCCTCTCCCTCCACTCCCTGGTAGAGCCAGTAAAGGATTCTGGGTGGCATTGCCTTGAGTTGAAGCTGTTCTGTGAAGACTGTAAGAGGCACCACTTGCTGTCACTGCTGCATTTCCTTTACCACACCTCCACTCTTCATTTCCTTCCTCACCCCGTTCATTGCTGCTATGATGTGGCTTTTTACTTCTTATTTCCACTAAT